TAATCCTTAAAACTGTATTGCTATGCAGTTGTAAAAAAGTACTCTTACACTTTGAGACAGCATGGAGGGAACTAGAGAGTGTTATGCTAAGCAATATAAGCCAGTCAGAGAACGATAAGTATCACATGATCTCACTCATTTGTGGAATATAATGAACAACATAAATTGAAAAACAAAAATAAATCCAGAGACAGAGAAGCATTGAACAAACCTTCAAATCTTAGAAGGGAAGGCAGAGGAGGGTTGGAGAGTGGGGAGAAGGTAAGAGATCAACCAAAGACTTGTATGCATGCATATAAGCATAACCAATGGATACGGACACTAGGGTGGTGGGGGCATATCCTGGGGGGTGGGAGTGGCCAGGGAGGGTCAATGGGGGAAAAAGGAGACATATGTAATACTTTAAACAATAAAAAAATCATAAAAAAGAAAAATATGTTGAACTATATCAGAATTAAAAACTTTTGTGCATCAAAGGACAACAGAATGAAAAGGCAACCCATGTAACGGGAGAAAATATTTGAAATAATATATCTGATAATTAGTTAATACCCAGAATATATAAAGAATTCCTAAAACTAACCAAAAAAAAAATTCCATTATAAAATGGCCAAAAGACTTGAATAGATATTTCTTCAAAAAATATATGCAAATGTCCAAGAAAAAGCCACTAATTAAGGAAATATAAATCAAAACCATAAGGAAATACCACTTCACATCCATTAGGATGACTATTATAAAAAAAGAAAATAACTGTTGGCAAGGATGTGGAAAAATTAGAACCTTTGTGCATTGCTGGTAGAAATGCAGAATAGTGCAGCTGCTATGGAAAACATTCTGGTCAGGAATCAGGTAACTAAAAATAGAATTACCATATGACCGAGCACTTCCACTTCTAGATACCCAAAAGAATTGAAAGCAGAGACTCAAACATATATTTGTACACCATGTTCATAGCAGCATGATTTATAATAGCCAAAGGTGGAAATATTCCAAGTGACCATTGATGAATGAATGAATAAACAAAATGTGATAAATACATTCAGCCTTTAAAAGGGATGAAATTTTTACACATGCTACAACTTGGATGAACCTTGAGGACAATATCTAAGTTAAATTAACAATATCTAAGTTAAATTAAGCCAGTTACAAAAGGACAAATACTCCATGATCCCACTGATATTAGGTATCTAAAATAATCCAACTTATAGAAATAGAAGGTAGAATGGTGGGGGCAAGGGCTAGGGACAAGGAGACAGTGGAGAATTACCATTTAATGGATACAGAGTTTCAATTTGGGAGGATGAAAGTATTTTGGAAATGGATAGTGGTGATGGTTGCACAACACTGTGATTGTATACCTACAATGGTTAAAATAGAAAAACTTATGTTATGTATATTTTACTACAATAAAAAATAAACCAAATAAAATAAGCAGGTGTGTGACTCTTCAGCTTATACTCTTATCTACTATGGTCCCGTGACTACTAGTAGCTGTTTAGACTCTCCAAGAGAAAGCTTAGTTCAGCACCCTCAGGTTCAAATGTAAAATTGTGAAGCCATAAAAAGCATACAGAGCACCTGGTATCATCACAATGCTACTTGAGAAAATTATTTATACAGTTATCAAGCCCCAAATGCATTCCTGAAAAGTAATTTTAAATGTGCCAAGCTGAATGAAAACCTTTACTACAAATAGGAAAATAGCTAATTTGACTGCAAATGATTATCAGCAAGCTGTTCTTAACAACTCCCTCAAACTGGAGTTAAAACCTGTTACATGAGTTTTCCTAGTCTAACAAACAGTCAGATTCCAAATACTTAACTATTCATGAACTTCTCTTGCTTGTAACACATGAACCCATCAGATGAAAACACCGGCTGTTTCTGGTACAACATGATTATTTCTTCTTGTGTTTTCTCCTTTTTTAGTTTAATTCATGGGCAAAGTGTCAACATTTGGTACAGGGTGTGGGACCTGCAGTATTTCTTAAATTAAGAAACAAAAGGTAGAGTTTTCAGTTAATGTTTCGGTTTGTATTGATTTTTGGAAGGAGAAACAGAACCTAGAATATTAAGACAATGGAAATGTTTTTTTAAGCTAAATCCCATAATCCTATATAATAAAAGAGAAACATGTAAATTGACCATCCCTTTGCTATGCTCACTAGCCAATCAGGAGTGAATATGCAAATTAACCTGACAAAGCTGGTGGGTTAATTTGCATACAGAGGCGCCAGGCAGAGAGCAGAAGTGGGAGAGCTGGCAGCTTGGGGGGATGTGGCTCCCTCTATTGCTCCCTTAGGAGGACATGGCTCCCTTAGTCACCAGGTGGAGAGCAGAGCAGAAGAGCCAGAGGCTTGGGGGTCTCAGACAATTCACTCATATGATTTCAAAGACAGACAGAAAGTCCAGGATTGGAGAGGGCTTCCCTGAGGGCTCCCAGATTGGAGAGGGTGCAGGTTAGGCTGAGGGACCCCCATCCCCACCCCTGTGCATGAATTTTTGTGAACCTGGCCCCTAGTCTTTATATAATGAGAGAATGTTGTCTGATATTGTAAATGTGATAAAATCCAGGTACCCATGAGAAGGCTCTCTAGGCATTAACACTATTGGTAGCCTTTTTCATTACCACCATCACACCACCACCACTACCAAATAACTAAGAATTTCATTTACTTAAATTATCAAGATTTCCCCCCTTTGCTTCAACATTGTTTCTTCAGTACATCACAATACTAACTAAAGTATTACTACCACCACTACTACTACTACTACTACTACTAGCTAACATTTAGTGAGCACTTACATGTCAAGCACTGTGCTATAAGGTTCCTATGCATTTCCTCTTTGATTATCATCATAACTTTATAGAGTAGATATCTTACTAATTTTATTTCATAGATGAGGAAATGAAGAAGACTAGTAGATTAGTAGTAAATGTCAGAGCTGGGATTCAAATCCTGACTTCAGGCTACTAAGTCCATGTATCTAACTGCCATGTAGACTACCTCTCTACAATCCTCCTCTTAGAATGAAAAATCATTTTATAACACTATGTTCCAACCTCAGGCTTCATATATTGTATTTATCAGTTAGTTACAGAATTCAAGCTTAATAATTAAGCAGATTGAAGCAGTGATCTATCTGATATGGGTCTTTCCCAAGATATCTGGCTCACTGCTTTAACTCAGATCCTAAGAGCCAATTCTGGAGTCCTTCTTTGCTTTCTAATTCCATCATTTCTTTGACTCCACAATAGGAAAACTACTCTGTTCTCTGAGGAATGAACGCCCCCATCTGTTAATAGAAAGCCATAAGAAAGTAGGGTTTTATAATGTAGAGTTGCACCTGAGTCAGTAATTTCCTAATTTATCTGTTCTCTATATTGAAGTACACTTGTAGACTAAGACTACCAATAGTGGCATACATAATTTTTGCACATTTACACATATTCTTTATACTTTTTCTCCCCATCCACATTGAATATTCTTGAGTAGTCATTTGTCATTAATGCTTCAAAATTCATCAGCTTGAAAACAGAAGGCCTGGACACGACAGTCTCTTCAAATTATCTTTAGCTCTATTGTATGATCTCCCAGGGCAACATTAAAAAATTGCTGTAGGAAAAGTTTCATTGTCCTTTCCTTCCAATCCCTGTCCCACTTGTAATAATGTCACAACCTTGCAATAGCCCATTGAAGCAAGATTGAAAAACTGAGATGGCATGTATAACAGCATAATTATTCTTTTTTCGGAATATATTTGTATTATTTTCAGAGAGGAAAAGAGAGGGAGAGAGAGAAACATCAATGATGAGAGAGAATCACTGATCAGCTGCCTCACACTGGGAATCAAACCTGCAACGTGGGCATGTGACCTGACGGGGAATCAAACCATGATCTTCTGGTTCATAGGTTGACACTCAACCACTGAGCCATGCTGACTGGGTGACAGCACAATTATTCTTTTTCTGTTCAACTCACACAAGTCCAAGTGCCACTAACAACAGAATCCTCTCTCAATCGATAAACAACTATGATAACAAAAACTACATTCTCAAGAAAGAACAGTTTATCTGAACATTATTCTGACTAGGGATGAATGTTATTTGGCCCAGGAATTCATAATAAAATATCACCCCCTCATTCTTTTCCTCAAAAGTATGAGCAACAACAACAAAAAACAACAATAAGCAACAAGTTTGTGCATGTACTGTGTGTACAACATCATTCTAGGCACTAGAGATATAAGGTAACATAAAGATATAAAAGATACAGAGTTGTGTAGAGAAAGACTTCAGTTCAGTAAAGAAGAAAGAAAAATTAAATAAAATTCAGAGTACAGCACATTATAGTTAAGTGAAATGGTAGACATATGCCTAGAATTCTATGAACACAAAAGAGCATCTATTTTAGATTTGGCAGATAGTACTCAGGGAAAATATTTTGGAGTAGATGACATTTAAACTGAGCTTGTGGGGGCGGGGTCAGAAGTTAAAATTAACTTGGGTGAAGTGGCATTTGAGGTAGTGTACTGGGCCTCCATAATATCTGGTTGTAAAATCCAGGGCAGTTTGTGTCCAAGAAAGACAATGGTCTTAAAGGGACCATGCACAAACTCATCCACTCAGAACTAAGGCGCTGGGTCAGGAGCTCAAAAAGTTCCAGGGACATGTGGAGAGTAACTGAATGGACTAATTTCAATACAAGGGCTTCAGATGTAGAGGTCAGGGAAGCTTTATCCAAGTCAGAAGTGCAGGCAAGCAAGCACCATCATCCTTTTATTGAGCCCTGCCCCCTATGCAATCTGCCATCGAAGGTGAGCACCAAATCTGCGAGCTTTATGAAAATGGCAAACACTGTTTGCCCCTCCCTAATGATTCCCTGAGATCGTACCCTCACAAATCATATGTCTACCTGAACCTCTTTTAGTGGCTTGTCCACATAAAAAGCCAGCCTTGGTTCAAGGTGCAAGCTTTCCTAAACTTAACGAGGAGTCCAAAATTCTCAAACAACCATCAGCTAGACTGGTTGCCCCCCATACATCTTTCTAAGCAGCCACAGTTCAGCTAGTAACAGCCAGCCTCAGTTTGCAGCTTAGCCTCTCCCAGATGCCTAAAAGCCCAGCAGAGATAGCTACCAATTGCAGATCACATTGTAGCTCCCATCAGGGCATAGGCAGCAGATGACACTGGCCTTTACCAGAGACCTTTCGAGGAAGCACCCAAGAGCAACAAACATAGTCAGCTTCAGACCACAATAGAGCACCACACAAGCAATTCCACAAAGGACACACCCAAATATCAGACTAGGCAGGCACCAGATTCCCATTAAAGTGAATCCTGCACCAGAGGGTCAGTCCCCTCACAATAGCTTGTCCACTGTAGTCATGGCCAGTCCTCACAGCCAGTCAGCCTGAAGGTCAATCCCAACCATTGAAATGCCACCAATAATCAAGGTTTAACTACAACAAGAGGGCACACATAATGATACAAAGAACACCCTTGGAGCACCCCACTCAGGTGACAGGGAGATAGCACTGCTGGGCAGCACAGAACACCTAGTACATAAGGCTACTCTGCCAAGACTGGGAGATAAAGCAGATATGCATAATACATAAAAACAAACACAGGGAGGCAGCCAAAATGAGGAGACATATGTTCCAAATGAAAGAACAAGACAAAACTCCAGAAAAAAATATAAACAAATTGGAGGCAATCACTCTACTAGATACAGAGTTCAAAACACTGGTTATAAGAATGCTCAATAAACTTAGGGGAAGAATAAAGGAACTCAGTGAGAATTTCCATAGAGAGATAGAAACTATAAAAAAGAACCAGTCAGAAATGAAGACTATAATATTGGAAATGAGGAATATATAGATACAATCAATAGCAGATTAGGTGATGCAGAAGACCGAATCAGTGATCTGAAAGACAAGGTAGCATTAAACACACAATCTAAAGAGCAAAAACAAAAAAAAAAATTAACCAGGATAGTTTAAAAGACATCTGGCCCTAGCCAGTGTGGCTCAGTTGGTTGAGCATTGCCCCATGCACTGAAAGGCTGCTGGTTCAACTTCCAGTCAGGGCACATGACCAGGTTGCAGGTTCAAACTCCGGTAAGGGTAGATGCAGGAGGTAGCTGAAGGATGTTTTTCTCTCACATCACTGTTTTTCTCTCCCTCCCTCTCCCTTCCCCTCTCTCAATTGATTAATTAATTAAATTAAAGGCATCTTTTAAAAAAATAAAAGACATCTGAAATGTCAAGTGTACCAATACTGGCATTATAGAGGTACCAGAAAGAGAAGGGAGAGAGGAAGAGATTGAAAATCTATTTGAAAAAATGACAGAAAATTTCCCTAACTTGATGAAAGATATAGACATACAAGTCCAAGAACAATAAGAGTCCCAAACAAGATGAACCCCCAAAAGCCTAAACCAAGACAAATCATAATTAAAATGCCAAAGATTAAAGATAAGGAGAGAATGTTAAAAGTAGCAAGAGAAGAGCAGTTAGCTACTGACAAGATAGTGCCCATAAGACTATCAGCTGATTTCTCAACAGAAACATTTTAGGACAGATGAGACTGGCATGAAATATTCAAAGTGATAGAAAGCAATGACCTACAACCAAGGTTACTCTACCCAGCAAAGCTATCATTTAAAATTGAAGGACAGATAAGAGTTTTCCAAAGAAGATAAAGCTAAAGGAGTTAATCACTTTTAAACCAGTATTAATAAGAAATGACACAGGGATTCTTTAAGAAGAAAAGAAATTAAAAATATGAATAAGAAAATATAGCAAAGTAAAATAATTTGACCAATAAAGACAAGCACATAATAAAAGCAGTGGATTATCCAACACTAAATATAGTACAAAAGTGGAAAGGGAAAAGTAGGAAGATCATGTGTAATTGTTAACAATAAATTGGTAATACACATAAACACACACAAAAGAAATAAAAACTAATGAAAAACATAAATGTGGAAGGGGGTGAATAAACATATTAGTGATTGTAAAATGTGCTCATCCTCAAGTGACCATAAACTTAAAAATAGATTATTAGAAAAATGAAGTACATGGTAGCCACAAAACAAAAATTTACAAAAGATACACAAGAAATAAAGAGAAAGACATCCAAATACAACACAACAGAGTATAATCAACATACAATAGAAGAGAGCAAGAGAATAACAAATGAACAAAGTAGAACCCCCAAAACAACAACTAGAAAACAATAAATGCAAATAACCATATATGTATCAATAATTATTTCAAATGTTAATGGAATAAATACTCCAGTCAAAAGACATAGAGTGACTGAATGGATAAGAAAACAAGATCTATACATATGCTGCATATAAGAGGCCCACCACAGATCAAAGGACATACACAGACTGAAAATAAAGGGATGGCAAAAGATATTTCATGCAAATAAAACCCAAAAAATTCTTGGGCAGTAGTAATTATATAAGACAAAATGGACTTTTAAAAGAGCCCTGGCTTATTTGGCTCAATGGTTAGATGTCGCCCGTGGACTGAAGGGTCACATGTTTGATTCCAGGTGAAGGGCACGTACCTTGGTTGTGGTTCAATTCCCTGGCCCTGGTTGGGGTACATACAGGAAGCAACCAATAGATGTCTCTCATGCCAATGTTTCTCTCTCTCTCTCTCTCTCTCTCTCTCTCTCTCTCTCCCCTCCTTTTCCTCATCCATCCCTCCCTTCCACTCTCTCTAAAATCAATGAAAAAGCATATCCTAGTGAGGATTAAAAACAACAACAAAAACAACAAAGGCTTTAATAGGAGACAAAGAAGGGCATTTCATAATTATAAAAGGATCAATCCAAAAAGCGTTTATAACTTGTAAACATTTATACACCCAATGTATGATAACCTAAATACAAAAGTAAATATTTATGGACATAAAGGGAAATACCCACAGTAATACAGTAATAGTCGGAAACTTTAATGCCCCATTGATATCAATGGATAAATAAACAGACCGAAAATGAACATGGAAACAGTGGCCTAAAATGACATTAAATCAGATGTACTTAATTGATATTTTTAGAACATTTCACCCCAAACATGCAGAATATACAATTTTTTCAAGTACACATGCAACATTTTCAAGGATAGACCATTTGTGAGGCCACAAAACAAGTCTTAGTAATTTTAAGAAGACTGAGATAATATCAAGCATCCTCTCCAATCAAAATGGTATGAAACTAGAAACCAATTACAAGAAGAAAATTGAAAAACATACAAAGGCTAAATAACATGATACTGAAAAATAAATAGGTTAATAATGAAATCAAGGAAGAAATAAAGATACCTAACCTTGAAAAAAATAAAAATGAAAACACAAGGACCCCAAATCTATGGGACATACACAAAAAAGCAATCGTAAGAGGTAAATTAAAAAAATACAGACACCTCAAATAAACAATTTAAACTTACACCTAGAGAAACTGGAAAATAAAAACAAGCCCACAGTGAGCAGAAGGAAGGAAATAGTAAAGATCAGAGCAGAAATAAGTGAAAAAGAGTCTAAAAAGCAATACTAAAGATCAGTGAAACCAATAACTGTTTCTCTGTAAAGATAAATTGATAAGCCTTTCACTAAACTTATAAAGAAAAAAAGGGAGAGGATCCAAATTAACAAAATTGGAAATGAAAGAGTAGATAACAATTGACACCACAGAAATACAAAGGGTTTAATAAAATACAACAAAAATTATATGCCAACAAATTGGACAATCTAGAAGAAAAAAAATTCCTAGAAACATCCTGACTTCCAGGACTGAATCAAAAACAGCCAGAAAATCTGAACAGAGCCAAAAGTGCTAACAAAGTCGAATCAGTAATCCAAAAAATCCCAACAAATAAAAGCCCCAGATTATAAGCCTTCAAAGGTAAATTTTACCAAACGTTGAAATAATGAACATATATCCTTCTCAAACTATTCTATAAAATTGAAGAGGATGGGAGAATCCCAAGCTCGTGTTATGAGGTAAGCATTACCCCAATGCCAAAACTAGACAAAGATATCAAAAAAATAGAGAAAAAAATTATAGGGCAATATTTCAGATGAACCTAGATGCAATACATTAAAAAATTATAGACTATGATCAATTGGGTTTTATCTTGAGATAGAAGGTTGGTTCAATACCCACTAATCAATTAACATACCACATAAACAAAATAAAGACTAAAATCATATGTTAATATGAATACATACAGAAAAAAAATTTCACAAAATCCAGTACCCCTTGTTTGATAAAAACTCTCAGTAAAGTGGAAATAGACAGAGGGATCATAAATCAACATAATAAAGGGCACATATGACAAACCTACAGCTAACATAATACTCAATGGGCAACAACTAAAAGCATTTCCTTTAAGAACAGGAACAAGGCAAGGATGTCTATTTTCACCACTCTTGTTCAATATAGTACTGGAAGTCTTAGCCACAGCAATCAGACAAGAAAAAGAGATAAAAGGAATCCAAATTGGAAAGGTGGAAATAAAACTGTCATTATTCACAGACGACGGGATATTGTACATATAAAACCCTAAAGACTCCACCAGGAAACTACTAGGCTTAATAAATGAATTCAGCAAGGTAGCAGGCTACAAAATCAACATCCACAAATAGATGGCTTTTTTATACAGTAATAATGAACTCCCAGAAATAGAAATGAAAAAAGCAATCGCATTTACCACTGACACAACAACAAAAAATAAAATATCTAGGAATAAATTTAACCAAGGAGGTAAAAGACCTGCACTTGAAAAACTATGGGACATTGAAAACAGAAATAGGAAAAGATACAAACAAAAGGAAGCATATACCATGTTAACGGATTGGAAGAATTAACATCATTAAAATGTCTATATTATCCGAAGCAATCTACAGATTCAATGCAATCTCTATTAAAATACCAATGGCATGCTTCACAGAACT